GCAGACCCAAGTATCCTTTAACTAACAGCTTTCTCAGTTCTAATATTTATGTTCTGAAAAGTTGAATCTGGTAAAACCCCCATCCTGTAATCCTGTGCAGTTTGAGTGTAATCTTGGATTTGGCACTGAACTTGAATGTCCAGGTGTCGGTAGTGCCCAGAAAAACATTTGGTCAGCAAAGGCTTGCATGCCAATATATCCCATTCCTAAAGAACTCTGACCCACCAACATCCATGCCTGCCTTAGTTACACATGGTTTGGACTATTGTGATGTGTCGAATGTGGGACTGTTTTTGAAAATGGGTCAGAAATGTCAGCGGATCCAGAATGCAGTGGCCAGACTGTTGACTAGTGCTGGTTACAGATAGCACCCTTGTTACAATAGATTCACTGGCTAACAATCTGTTTCGTGGCAGAAATTAAAGTGCTAGTTATTACCTATAAATAATATCTATAAATGACTTGGGATCAGACTACCTAAAAACAAAAACAAACAAACAAAAACAATTTTTCCTTAGGAGCTTTACCTGGTTCTTCAATAAAGCAGACTTTTGCCACTGGAGGGACAGCAGGAATGAACCTAGCCTACCTTGGAGGGAGTTCAGTTTAGTGGCTGGAAGCAGCCACTAAACAAGCACTCTCTTAGGTTACCTTTGAAGTTGGATTTGCTGGTTATGTTCACAAAGGAATGGCTTCTTTAAAAGTTCTTAAGACGGACTTTAGCCTGCAAGTGCATCAGTTAGATTTGGTGCTGCTTTTTAACATTTTGATTTTTTAATTGTTTTTAATGTTTTGTTCCATTGTTTAACTTGGTTTCAATTATATCCTGCCAAGTTTTGGTAGAAAGATGGGGTACCAATAAAGTAAATAACATCCACATCTGCAAGTCATCTTTTTTGAATGAAATAGGGCTTCATCTAGACCATGCATGTGGAGAACTGGGCTACAGAAATAGCACTTACAATGCAATTGTTGTGGGAAGTTTAGATAGCATATGGAAAATGGTTGGAAGCTTTACTGTAATTGGGCAAAAATAAATTTTTCTCTTAATGTTTTATAAAAAAAGGAACCCCACTTAAATCCTACATTTTCTGTCATAGTCTTATTTCTGTGTCAAACCATGTATTTCTGTATCAAAATATGTCCTACTATTTCACATTTGCACAGCTTTTTCAGAGTTTGATAAAAGATCACAGTCCCCATCATTCTAAAAACACAAATTTAACCAAATACCCTGATTGAATTCAAAAGCCTACATTCTCAAAGTGCTCTTTGTTTAGGGAAAGTAAAGCTGCTCATAGACTTCCTTTTGAAAAATAGAAATTTTATTTAAATTCATAAACTATAGAAAATCAAAATATTATTTTTACATCAAAGATAATGTACTGCATGCATTTTATAGCCAGGTTCTAGCTTATAGTCATGGTTCCCTTGTATTGACTTGATGATTCTTGAATGCTTTTGATAACGCTCGACTTTGATAAGTTTTGCCCTTTCAGCTACAGGTGTGCCAATATACTTTGCTTGTTTGGAAAAACCATTTTTTTCTGACAATTCCATGTACAAAATGTGCACAAGTAAATGCCATATTTCTCATTATTTGCCATGCTGCATAAAGCTAACTTTTGAGAAGTTCCTGAACTCACTCTCTCTCTCTCTCTCTCTCTCTCTCTCTCTCTCTCTCTCTCTCTCTCTCTGTGTGTGTGTGTGTGTGTGTGTGTGTGTGTAACAGGGAGAGGCGGAGAGAGAGAGAGAGATGGGGTAGGGGAAGTTATGCTGTAATTTTTGCTTCTCACTGTGTATACAAGTGTGTGCACACATTTATTTGTAAGAAAATAACTTTTATTGTGAATCCCTTACTTTTTCCAGCCAGTTAGTGCTTTGGATGGTTTGATATTAATTACTATAGCAAGACTTAGGCTTGATTTAAAAACATTGGTATGGCAATGACATACAATCAATTCAGTGCCAGCCCTCTGAGATAGTTCACTAGGCATGTTTGTATCTTGTTACTCTCTGCTCTGCTACTGCCACTCCTAGCTAACCTAAACTGAGGTTAAGCATTTTTCTTCAAGCTTTCGGGTTATTTATGTGGGAGCAGAAAGACAACCAACTATGCTTCCAGTCTTCACTATGCCTCTCTTCACTTTCCTCTCTCTGTTACACGATAAAGTGTACCGTGAATGAGTGTGGAAAGAGAAGAATACATCATGGTTTTTCTGGTATAAAGAGGAATCTAACACCACCCAATAGTACTGTCCAGTTAAGTAAAGTGCATTAAAGATAAAAGCCATATAGTCAAGGAAAGTTGTGAGTATGCAAGATAAAATAGGAAAAGCCTATTCTAAATATTGGTCTTCCAATCTATTCTGTGTAAGCTAATAAAGCAAGATAAATCAGAGGCCCAGTAGCAATTAACATAGTTTCATGTTAGTCAAAGATGGAAAAGACCACAATTCAAATTGGGTATTATATAATGTTTTATGCTGTCTGATTGGGATGACTTGAAAGCAAGCAAACTTAACTGACAAGTGGGGTGCAGGTTCGATTGAAGAAAAAGAACAGTCAGCACCAGAGTTTACATTTGGAAGGTGAGAATTGTTATGGAAACCATTTCCTGCTAGAGTAATTTGTGTATTCAGTGGGCTGCAAGATGGAAAGTGACTGGAAATGTAATTCCAAATGGTGGCTGTTATCTCAACCACTATCTGAAAAGTTAAAAGTATTAGTAAGACAGGACTCCAGCTCCTTGACAACTGGTTAATAATAGCAATAATTAAAATTGGTTTTGCCCACATAAGCTTTAGCCATGGTTATATAATAGTGAACAGGACAATGCAAATTCATGTTAGATGGGCTGGTATGAACAAGAGCATATTCTAGGTTCAGTTCCCAATTTTTAAATTTTAGGAAACATAGTAGCTGGAAAAATTAAGTTTAAATATAATACAGAGCAGTAGCAGAAGCCAGTGAGGATAAACATTTGGAGGTGTGATATGGTTTAGAGCACTGAGAAAGCAAAATGCAGCAAGCAAAGGAACTGAGAATAGGAATAACAGGTTCAAGCTGTGGCAGGAAGACAAATAATCAAAACATTATAATAAACATGATATATAATGAGAGTCTGAATAAGGATTTTAGTAGAATTCTTTTATTAGATTAAAAGCAAATATTGGAAAAATTGTGCGGAGATAACCAGAAAAACTCAGCTAAAGCAATAATGAAAACTAGGGGCAGGTGAGAGAAGGAACAAGGATCATGCCCAAACTATTTGACTTGATAAATCTGAGGAGTAACTCTTTCGGAAAACCTCCAATCTGTATCATCACAAAGTACGGTGGGATCTTTCCAGAAAGATCCCTATCCAACCAATAGCTATTGCCAGTGATGCTTTGCCATTGCTTCCTCTGGGCTTGGAAGTTCTCTCTTATTTATCATGGCTGAAGTTCTTGGTAGATCTATGCTCATGACTGATGCTGCTTACAGAGACTGCAAGGAGGAAAGAGATACAAGATAACTGTGAAGTTTAAGGAAGTACAGAATAAGTTAAGTTTTCTCAGTGTTAAATTTGAGATGACACAATATCTAAGCAGAAATAGCTGTAAAACACAGGGACAAAAGGAGAAAACAGAAAGATAGACCTTAAGTATAATCACTATAGAAGTAATATTGTAGGTAAAAATTCACAAACCAGGAACTAAATTCTGATGAGTCCTACTAGAAGAAGAAACCAAAGTGACATAGGAGTAAAAGCAAAAAAAAGTTGGTTACACCAGCTCCCATTTCCTTCCTCAGCAGCAATAAGAAAAAAGAAGGAGTAAAATTCAGTGCATCGAAAGTTGATGCTAAATCAAGGAGAACATGAATAGAGCAGAATCTGTGTGACTTGGCATATAGGAGATCATGATAAATTTTACACAGAAATCTGGAATGTTGAAATTGAAAATTAGGCTAGAAAATTTAAACAATTAGAAGAAAGAAATAATGCTTTAAGAATAGATTTTTTCCTCAAGTAGTTTGAGAAAGATAGCATAGGCTCTCTCTATGTTCCTTAAAATCAAGTATGAGTTACTCTCAAGTTACTGATATAAGTAAACAGCCATGTGCAAAATATATCAGTAATGATATCTGACAATAAAACTGATTTATGCAGGCTGATATATATTTCAGTTTCACAAGAACTATGTGAGCATAAAGGCTAAAAGTATAACATGCAAGTCTTTATTCGAAGGTCATTTCAGATAGGAACTCTCTAGATAGTCTTGGGCACACTACCCTTTCTCAGGTCCAGACCCTCCTTCTCTGTGAAATATGCAGATTCTCATAGAATATCAGAGTTGGAAAGGGCCAATAAGGCCACTGGGGCTGTTCTCTTGCTCAGCTTGACCACCAAGTCAAATGGTAATTCAGAATTGCTGATTGCTAAGTGTAGCACTGCTTAGTAATTTTAGGTAATGTCAGTATCCATTAATTTCTATGTGGGGTATCTTGGCCATTCAGAAGTGCCATATGACGTTATTGTTTACTCTGCTTTCCGATGATTATGTTTTATTGGACTGTTCAAGGTTGCAGTTGCAATTATATTGTAAGATTTGTCTTATGCTACTGCTATTTTTTGATGTTTGCTATTTTATGAGCACATTGATGTATTGCTGTAATCTGCCCTGGGAAGGGTGCTGCCCTGAACATGGTTTGTAACTATTTTAAATAAATATTATATAAATGATAAGTAATGTTTGCAGAAATATGTTAAGTTTCACCAACCTTAATGTAAAACTTTGGACTAAAGAAAAAAGGCATGGGCTTATATTTGTAATACGTGTATTTAAAATATTGATTCAAATCATCAAAGTTTGTAGATAATATATTTTCCTTGAATTATATGTCGTGTTTTACATTTTGTCTAGTAGGACTACCTGGTGATAAACTATGGTATAATTTAAATAGAAATTTGGATGTAATATTACATAATACACAGTATGTTATCTTCTCTTTTTAAGGTGGTTTAGTCTAGAATCCAAACAAGGGAAAAGAAGTAAAGACAGAGGAGAGATAAAGGTTAATATTCAGTTTATGAGGAACAACATGACAGCAAGTATGTTTGACCTCTCAATGAAGGACAAAACTAAATCTCCCTTTGCTAAACTAAAGGACAAAATGAAAGGTCGCAAGACTGATGGGACATTTTTGGATACATCTTCTGCAATCATTCCTAGTACTCGTATGCCAGAAATGAACACGGTAACTTCTTTCAGCGAAATGCAGTTGAAATCAAAGCCAAAAAAGCATTTTCTTTTGGGGCCTCAGCGACTGTCTTCAGCTCATTCAATGTCCGATTTAATTGGGCCTCAGGTGACTTCAGAAAAAATTAAATCAGGCACAGTTGGCAACACATACCTCTTCAGACGTCAGCTTGACTCTGCTGGTTCCATGGATGAAAGTGGTAAGTAGAGAGATTCCTTAATTGTTGCAGCTTAATCTGAGGAACTTTTAGCAGATTCTTGCTAAAGCTCACAGACCACTATCTACTGATTTTTTCACAATGCAAGACAAATGGGGCAAATCATAACTATATATCAGTAGCAGTTCTGTTTCAAGCAGCTTAATGCCCATGCTGTGTGAAGACAGTGATCAATTTTGCCTCACATATTTTCATTTTAAAAATGATGTATATACTCAAGATGGTTTACATAATGTCATTAAAATACAGTAAAACAGCAAATAATAAATAATTAATGGACGCATCAAACCTCTCAAAATAACTACCAGGAATAGTTGTTAAGCTGTTTTCTAGGTGTGTGTCTTTAAAATGTTGATCTGTTAATGTTAACATAATCCTGACTTACATAGATTTGTTTATACTACATAGTTTGTACTGGTGGTGATGCACAGTGGCTTATGATAGCATGCTAGCTGTTTTCTCCAGTTTTGAACACTTATTTGGTGGTTCACTGGTTCTAAGGGTAAAACTACACATTACTTTAAAAACATACTTAGCAACTAAAGACATACTTAAGCACAGGGAAACTGATTTGCGTGGGCTCTTTGAGGTTAATCATCCATGCCTGAATTTTAATCATCCATGCCTGAATTTTGCATTTTCAAAATATGATCCTTAAAACAAAGGAATAAATTTTTGACAATGTAATTTGCAAGTGTAGACACTCCAGTGAGGACTCGGGCAACAGCAGGGGGGGGGGGGAAGGATTAACACTTTTTATAACAGGATCTGAAACTGGATAGGTTCCACTCTCCTTATCTTGGAGGAGGAGGAGGAGGAGGTGGAGGAGGAGGAGGAGAGTTTGGTTTAGCCATTTTATTCTGAGTAATTTGGCTCTGATTGGAATCTTGTCTTCTCTGCCCACTCCTTTTAATTTTATTTTAAATGTTTATAAATTTACAAAATAAATACATACAATTACAGAATATAAATTAGATGGTATTTCATAATATCTGCCCTTAGTTCAGCTTACCAAAAAGGAAAAGAGAAAAACAATCATATTAGGCCTAATTAGTGATGTCACTGAATTTCTTAACTAGCCAGCTTGTCAATCAAAACTCACCATTTCTAATGCTCACCTTTGAAGTGATCCTGGATTGATGAATTACAAAGTCAGCATTAACTTTGGAATATATGTAGTCTGTTCCTACATAATGCCCTTTTTGCTTGTGCAAAATTAGATTAACCTTGAATAATCCAGTCCATTCACTGCTGCTTTTCACACCTCAGGTCTTGTTTTGTGATAGAAAGATGCTTTGGAGATCTATCTTCTTTTCTCAATATACCAGTGAGCAGAAAGTAAACATCTGTGTCATCATCTTGCAAGCAGGCCAAATGGTAATAATTAGGAAGAAGACATTGTGCTGCATGTTGTTATGCTACACTGTAACAACATGTAACATTGTAGTGCATGTTATGCTACGCTGTACAATACCAAGCTGTAGCTCCCAAGATGTACTGTAATACTATGCAAAAATTCAAAACCAGAAAACAAGATCTTATATTAAAGGAAGACTCTCACCCAAACTGAGGTGAACAAATGTGTTACTTTCTGAGTAAATAATTATTTTACTTTGAAATCATTCACCCATCAATCACTGGCCCCACTAGTATCTATAAAACTTCTTGAGCTGTCTTCAACGTTATCCTATCATTATATGGAATCAATTCCACTTTTTGGAGAATTATTTTTCCAGTATATTATTTATTTATTTATTTATTTATTTATTTATTTATTAAAACATTTCTATGCCGCCCCATTCGCTGAAGCCTCGGGGCGGCTCACAACATAAGATAAAGTACAAAAATAACAATATAAAAATAACAATATAAAATAAATAACAATATAAAAGAAGTCACCCTGGCCAGATAAAAGCAAATATTGTTAACAATTAAAATGACGCTTAAATAAAAAGGTCTTCACCTGGCGCCGAAAAACAAATGACGGCGCCAGGCGGACCTCTCTGGGGAGCGCATTCCATAGATTGGGCGCCACCGCAGAGAAAGCCCTCCTCCAAGTACCTACCCTCCTAATTTCTTTCACGGAGGGTTCCCGGAGAAGGGCCTCTCCCGCAGATCTCAAGGGGCGGCCGGGCATATATGGATGTAAGCGCTCCTTCAGGTAACCAGGACCCAAGCCGTTTAGGGCTTTGTAGATCATCACCAACACCTTGAATTGGGCCCGGACTTCAATGGGAAGCCAGTGAAGCTGACGGAGGACTGGAGTCATGTGAACATAACGTCCAGTCCCTGTCAGCAGCCTGGCAGCTCTATTTTGAACCAATTGAAGTATCCGGACCGTCTTCAAGGGTAGCCCCACATAGAGCGTGTTACAGAAGTCCAGACGGGAAGTCACCAGCGCATGTGTCACTGTCGCCAGGCAGTCGTACTCCAGGTAGGGGCGCAGCTGATGAATCAGCCGAAGCTGAAGGAAAGCGCTTCTCGCCACCGCTGTCATCTGAGCTTCCAATGAAAGCTCCGGGTCGAGGAGCACTCCCAAGCTGCAGACCTTGTCCCCAAGAGGGAGTGCAACCCCATTCAGGACTAGGTCAAATCCACCCTCTCCGAAGCCCGATCTGCCAACCAACAGGACCTCCGTCTTGTCTGGATTGAGCTTCAGTTTATTGGCCCTCATCCAGCCCATTACCTCGGCCAGGCACCGGTTCAGTACAGCCACTGCCTCACCTGGATTGGTGGAAAACGAGAGGTAGAGCTGGGTATCATCAGCGTACTGATGATTCCGCAGCCCACACCTCCTGATGACCTCTCCCAGCGGTTTCATGTAGATGTTAAACAGCAAAGGGGACAAAATGGATCCCTGCGGTACTCCATTGCATAGCTGCCATGGTGCAGAGCCATAGTCCCCCAGCACCACCTTCTGGAATCGGCCATTGAGATAGGAGCGGAACCACTGCAAACAGTGCCTCCGACCCCGAATCCCGCTAGCCTATCCAGAAGGATACCATGGTCGATGGTATCGAAAGCCGCTGAGAGGTCCAGGAGAACCAACAGGGATGCACTCCCCCTGTCCTTCTCCCTGCACAGGTCATCATACAGGGCGACCAAGGCAGATTCAGTACTGAATTATAAACAAATTCAGTCTTCTCTCTTGCTGCCACTAGGTAGGTTCCACCATATAGACAATTTCTCAAACTTTCAAATACTAGCTATCAAATAATATTGGGGGGGAGGGAGGGGCATGGCAGCCATCTCTTGACTTTTTACTTACAAGGAGATGTGCTATGATAATAAATTAATCATCATCTGAGTGATTCACTACCATCTTTGCAAAACTAAACAAAACTGTTAATGGAGTCCATGGGAGGCTGTATCCTGTGATGTCATTAATCCCCCAAAATATGAACAATGTTGAATTGGTTAGAGCCACATCTCTCACATCATCACCTGTTCCTTGATATATCCTGTGGAGTCTTTAAGGTGTCAAATACTATGTAGAAAGTAATTTATAGAGACTTTATTTTATAGTCACGCATAGTGTTAATTGTCACACCAATTCTGTAGGCTGGGCCCACATTTCTTCTACAGAATCTTTCTTCAATACATTATTCCATTTTGAGTGGTAGCTGCAGTTCCTAAATTTTATACAGTTGGCTCATCAGTCCTTTAACCTGATTGTCAATAAATCTTTCAAACTTGATGTCTGCTTGCACTGGCCTGTCTTTCAAAACTGATTTACCAACAATATGTTTCATCTGTAATACTGAAAAGAAAGAGTTGTTCCATGGCTTTTATTAAATTACCATAAGGCCATATCCTTTCCTGATAAAGAGCATGTTGAAACTGAATTGTGCCCTGCTGCTTTCCAAACAGTTTATTCCCCCTCCCTATCTCTTTGTTTCAATTTCTTCATTGTGGTACGTTGCTGCCTATGTGGAAGATACAGGACTCAACTTTTTCTCATGCAGATGACAAGTCCAAGAAATACTCCTTACCTTTTGATTGTTTGTTGCAATTCCAGGGTATGTTGTCCAAGCACGTGGATCAGTCTTGTTATTCTGTCTTTACAGTTTTTCCTGGTTCAGTTTTGTATGAAAGTAAACCTGAGTTTGTTGTTCTGTATTATCATTGAAAGCAAGGGAAACACTGACCCACACAACTGTCAAGGATAAATTATTAAGCCTTGTAATTACAAAAAGATAGTAGTAAATAAAATTGAACCCTAGATATCATGCTCATTTTAATAAATGGGCACCTGCCCCGTCCATATAAAGCTGAAAACCAATCAGTTTCTGGAACTGTTTAGGATGATTAAAAGAAACCCTTTCAGGAGAGAGTCTGGAACTCTCAGTGGATTTAGCTACTGTATACTGTGGTATCCTTCTGGGGTGACTAGCTGAGCTGGGAGTGGATGATACTGCATCATAGTTGTTCCACTGCTATTTGGATGGCCTGCTCCAGAGAGCAGTGCTTTGGGAATATTGCTTGACCCTGTGGATTCTCCAACATAGGTTCCCTTTGGGATCGGTCTTATCCCTCATGCTGTTTAAAATTTATACAAGCCATTGAATGGGGTTACCCAGAGTCTTGGAGTGTGCTCCCATTAGTTTGCTGATGAACTGCAACTCTGCTTCTCAGTGTTTCATTCTCCTCAGGTACTTGGCTGCAATAAGGGCTAATAAACTGAAGCTCAGTCCAGACAAGAGATGCTGTTGATGGGTGGTTCTTCAGACCAGATAGGGGGTGTTCAGCCTGATCTCTGTGGGGTCATACTCCTCTTGAAGGAGCAGATTTGTAGCTTGCAGGTGCTCCTTATATCTGTGTTACTTGAAGTCCAGGTGGCTTCAGTAATGTGGAGTGCTATCAGCTTTGGCTGTTGGACCAGCTACATCTTTATTATTTATTTTATTTATCATGTATTTGATTTATATGCCACTCGACAGGTCATAGATTCTCTGGGTGGGTTACATCATACTAAAATCCAGAAACAGCGTGAAAACAGTATGCAATATGACAACCCACAATTACAAAGGACCAATAATAAATAAATAAGCTATCAAATAGAAGCAAAATAAACAAAACAGAAATAATAATAGAGTATATATTTAAAAAACACCTAAAATAGAACATAGACCATTTATATGTTAATTTATATCACTGACATGTTCTTTAAGAAAGTCTCTGGCATTATGTTCAAAAGCATATTCTTAGGACTCATAGGAAATTTAGTTTTAAAGGTTTTTTGTATTTCCACATGTATCAACTTCCAAAATCTTTTAATTATTCACAAGTCCACCACATATGTTAGAAAGTTCCATCTATTACATTTCCAACAATTTCCATTGTAGTTCTTACCTATTTTTTTTAGATTTTTTGAGGTAATACACCACAAAAAAACCACATACCAATTTTCTCTTAGTGCTTGACTAGCTGTGAATTTAATGTTTTCTTACATAAAGCTTTCCATTGATGGGATAATATTTCTACTCTGAGATTCTGCATCCAAATTGTCATATATTTACTATCTTGATGATCTTCAGTGTCATGTTGAAGTAACTGCTTATAAAGTCTTCCTAATAGATTATAATTTTGTTGTGTAATCAGCTTTTCAAAATCTGTCTCTTATGGTGCCTTTCCATGATTTTATGTCCCTTTTCAATCTTGCAACCAATTTGTAGTAAACAAGCAATTGTATATTTTTTCCCTTCATCTTTTAGTTTTTCCCAAGTTTTAACTTGTTCTTGTTGGTCAATCATATCCCCATAGGTTATAAAGTCATTATTTTTTCTTAAATATTTTTCAAATGCTTCAACTGGGGACATCAAAACTAAAATCAGAGGACTCATTCTTTCTCGTATAGAATACCAAATCTTTATTAAGCCATCTCTTAATACATGTTTATTATTTGGTGTCAAGGTCTTTTTATCTGACTTTTTGGCCATAAGTGATTATGTATTCCTTCTTCAAGATCTTTTATTTCTAACTTCACTATCCTATCATTAACATTTATTATCCAATTTGAAATCCAAACTAGGCCAGCTACATAATAGTACAGCTTTAAATAAAAGTCTCCCTCTTTTTCAAATGAGTGCTGCTTCTCATGCTCTTTCTGGGAATCTTCACTAGATAAGCTTGAAACTGCCCTGTCTTCTGCTCCACTTTACCCAAATGCTTCCACCTCAGAATACATGAATCTGTCTGAACAGATTGTACTGTGTGTGAGATGGGCCCCCTCTTTATAGGCTTTGAGGTAGAGGTACTCATTTGTTGTGTAAGATCCCAGATAACTTCCTGATTCGGCAATAAAATGTTACCTAGTTGCTAAACCTTTACTGCTGATCTTTTGTTTTTGGTTGTCCCATTATGTTATCGAAGCATGGTTGGTATTTATATCGGGGCCTACTGAAATGTATTTTCTAATTAATAGCAAATACCATGCAATTCCTTTTCTAAGTAGAATAGGTTGGTACCTTCCCTGTTGGGTTTCCAGCAAGCAAAACCCTTTTTATTCCAGCAGGCATTTGGTAATGCACTGTGAGTTTGCACTGGATTAGTTTTACTGTTTATATTTTTGTAGTGTTTTTAATCTTTTAATTTAAGTGGTTCAGTTTCAATATTTAATTGTTTTAATTATATTTTTAATTCTTGTATACTGTAGCAGAAAGCTGATGAGGATTCCCTATTCCCATGGTTAACTGGGCTAAAAATCCTGCCCAGTAATCCCCTGGTCCCAGAGCCCTAGACCAAACACTGGATTCAGCACATGACAAACTCAAGTTCTGGGGAAAATATAACTTTATTAAAAGGATAAAAATGGGTTTTTTGTTGTTAGATGTGAAGTCGTGTCCGACCCATTGTGACCCCATGGACAACATTCCTCCAGGCCTTCCTGTCCTCCACCATCCCCTGGAGTCCACTTAAGCTGTGGAGAGTACTAAAACAGCTAAAAGGCTTAAAAAGGAGGAAAGGGAGGGGATTTGAGGACAGCAACAACAGAAATTACAGCCAGCCAGAGATCCCCAACTCCCAGGCCTTGTTGGCCCACTTGGACATGAAAGCTCAGCCTAGTCTCAGCTATATACTCAAATATTATACCAGCCTTCAGCACAGGCGAACAGGGCAACACAGCATTCTTTGGCACAGAGCCTGGCAACAAAAGTGGAACCTCTCCTTGAATAGGAACACCAAGCCTTTGTAGGCCTCAGGCTTTATTCCCTGCCAGTTCAGGTTAACCGAGCCATGAGATGATGGTCCATGATGGACTCCAGGTATGGATGGACCATTTGCCCCTCGTTGCAGCTATCTCCTGTGTCCTGGGGAGTAATTTGTGGTATCTCTTCCTTATATATAACAAGAGCCTAATCTCACCCCCTGGGACCTTGATCGCCAGCTTCTTGCAAGTCTGGCTGCTGGATTTTTCAGCATTTTACCCTATGTGCTGGTTAACCCATTCCTGCTTCTCAGAGCTGTTGACCAGTTCACATTACATATACCTTGAATGTTTTAATTGTATTTATTTTAATGTTGTGAGCTGCCTTAAGTCCCAATCACTGGAAATGGGTGGGATATACATAATCATCATCAGATTTGCTTTATATCATATACATCTTTTGCACTTTATATTGTATTTTTATAGTTTCAAAATAATATTATCCTATAAACACTGAGTGTAGTTTGATAGTATCAGGCTATAGTTTAAATCTTCATTAGGCTATGTAGCCCACTGTGTGACCTTAGAGAAGCTGCTTTCTCTTAGCCTGGTGTACTTCAGAGGATAGAAATGAAAATAGAACCTGTGTTCCTTGGAGGATGAGATATAAATGAAACAATACTGCACATACTCCTGTCACATTATAAGTGTCTTTTTTGCTATTTTATTGAAGTTAAATTCAGCCAAATTCACTGTTCTCTCAAATTATTTTTGACAGAATTTTCGCCTTTTGTAATACATAAAGGCTTACAAGAAAACATGAGTATGGTATTTCAGTGTGATAATAAGGCATAGACTTGTATTTCCCCCAACAGAATCAAAGACACATGAAAGTGCCTGGATTTGGGCATGTCCCTTATTTTAAAAACTATTTAACAGCTATTTGAATAAATTGGCATCTGTTGTAAAAAGGTGGTATCTGTTATAGTAAATGCAGATATAAAGGATAGTCATGCAAACTTTGTGTTTGTGTGTATGTCACCAAATGTGAAGTAATGTCTCTGGTTGTTTACTAATAATAAAATTGTTTGCAGGAAATCTAAAATCTCCACACAGACGGACATTAAGTGCAGATACTGCTAAAGTGAACCAACTTGACAGCACAGTTGATGATGGTGACTCAGCTTTTGGAGCACAAAGTGACCCTTTTACAAATGTGACTGCTTCATTACCTCAGAAGTTTGCGACATTGCCAAGGCAGAAAAATCCTTTTGAAGAAAGCCCTGTGTCATGGGACCAAAGTATAGGTCTGTTTTCAAAACCTGCCGAAATTAAAAAAGATATGAAGAAAGAGAAAAAGGAGAAAGTTAGTCTCTTTGAAAGAGTAACCGGGAAAAAAGATAGTAAACGGTCAGATAGACTCAGCAATGGAGGATCAGATGGTTCCAGCGAATTGAAATCACCTAGTGCTTTTGGTGACAGTCAACCGGACAGTTTCGATTTTGATTCAACTAATCCCTTTACAACAAACTTCAAGCTAACAAGTGTTCTGCCATCTTCTAGGTAAGTTCTGTATTTGCATGTTATGTTTTGGAGTCTTCTTTTTAACAAAATGGAAAGTAAGCATTTGAGCAAACATTATTCGTGCTTTATTTTACCAGTTCTAGTTTGTGTACTTACTTTTCAGATATATCATTTAAATTATGCATTTCTTGCTTGTAAAAACCAATTCCACCCATAACTTACAGAGTGGTATGAGCAGCAAAGGCAATGTCCCATATGTTTCCCCTTTTGCTTTAAAATCCAGATGAAATTCTTTCCTGGATGTGCTCCTATTATGAAAAGATTGGAGCAGTGTCTTTGAAACATAGTGCATATTTCAATATGGTGTCTGGTGTCGTCAAAATCCATTCAGAAACGTCCTGCAAATACAAATAGTTCATTAGAATTCAGTTCACAGAATAATCCTAAAAAGTTAGCCCTGTTGGTCATAAGAAAATATGAATTTTGGGGGACTTATTTTTGGTGTAATAAATATATTATACAAATGAAAGAAAGAATGAATTGGTTTTCTGTACTTTAAACTGCCCTATAACTGAAATTCTCTGGATCATGCACAATTCATTAAATCATATAGTACAAATATTAAATAAAAAATTAAAACAGCACAGAATAAAATTGACTTGGAGATGTTCATATAGCCAAGGCTTTCTTAATGAGTTGAAGATCACAGAATTTTGTCATTCAGTGATGACAATTTTGTCATTATCCACTGGAGAAGAGGATAATAATCTTCCTCAATTTGGAACTTTTTCTCTGAAGATTCATCCCCTCATTGAACTACTGGGTTAAGCTATGCAATTTGGTTTCTGTTTGCTTTCTTTTGTCTGATACAACATCCAAAATTATGTCTAGTGTTATGAATATACATTTATCTCTATTTCTGTTTTCAACTTGTATGATTTTCTCAGAATGCGGAAAATTCTGAGTTAACAGCTGGATTGTATATTTCCAAAAATGAGGGATCAACAACTGACTGCTGCTTTCTTATTCCCAGTGGGCCTTGGGGCACTGAAATAATCAGATTGATAGACAGAGCCCAGTTTGAATGTAGAGTATCTTTTACCATATTATTTCAAGATTAACTATGCAGACATCTTAGGTCCACCATTGTCAGCCTTTTTCCTCCTACCTAATCCCACTTCTGCTTTTTGTAATAATTTTGCCTGATGAAACGCTCTGGAACTCTCAAAAGCTTGCACATTATGGGGGTTTTCATTTGCTGCTAGGAGCTGTGGACCATTTTTTGGTTAGGCTGTCTGTGAATGGCATGCCAGTTGTTTATTTTAGTTACTATTAGGATTATGTTGTGTGTTTTAATTTTAATCCATATATTTGAAAATTTTCTTTTGCAAAACTGTGTGATTGTCTTCATTAGTCTAATTGCATCCATTCATTATAGTGGTTAACATGTAGCTAACTGGTATGACAGTCCTGTATACTGAACATACCAAAGGACAAATGTCAAATATAAAAGTATTCCATAAAATAACTAGTCCTGTGTGCAACATTTCTATTTAAAATGTTTGTTTTTTAAGCTACACTACAGTAGGCTAATACACTGATGTGAAAATTTCTCAATTTACAGCACTTGACAGGTGCTAAAAGAAAAGCATCTTTAATTTTAATGTGTTGTTAGGCCCTCTTTAGAGGAATTGTGCAAGTTATTAACAAGGTCCTCTGAGACAGGAGACGGGTAATTAACAAGACCTACAGAAAGAGAGTTTGGGTAATTAACAAGCTCTTAGGCACTGGACACAGGGTAACAAATAGTCCAGTAGTTAAAGGCGACAGGTTGTTACTAGCCAGATTTGAGGAAATGAATAGATAGGTGTCTCAGTGAGGTGTCTAATTAGTATTTTTTTAATTATATATGAAGTCCTTAGATTACATTTCTGTGATACAACAGTTGCGGTAATAGCAACATACATATCCATGAGATCCCTTTTAAGATTGAGTTTTCATTTAAAAATTGGCTATCAATATAGTGCCCTTTACAAAGATTATTAGAAAAAAATGAAAAAGAAAATGACATATTAGGAAAATAGCATTATAATGAGGCAAATTATGTTTAAATGAGAGATGTATACATAATTCACTCTTAGATAACAGTTAGCTAAGGGTGCTAAAGTTTGACTAGACTTGAATGTAGGTTGCAAGATTATCCTCTAGCACTTAAGTGGCTTTGTTATCATTTACATGATGGGGCCAGGTAAAGACATATTATGAATTGTTTTTGGAATACATAAAAGGCTTCTTCTCTGATTCCTTTTCCTGCTTTGGGTATCACTAAGGCTCTTTAGCACTGGAATTGACTGAAATGAGAGCAGGACTCAAGGGTATTACTTTCCTAAAAGTCAGATGTGGGAATCCCATAGGCTGCAAGTACCCTTAAAGGCCCTGCAGCTTGCAAGTGCTATAGTGCCTCCTTAATTTTAACTCTCTCCAGCATGTGGTTACCACTGTTGGCAATATATTTTTTCTCTTCTCTTGCTCAGTGAAAAAGGTATAGAAAAAAGGATGCTCTTACACACCATACTTTGATGTTTCCATCATATCCTTGAGAAAGTAGAGAAAGGTTGGGCCATCTTTTACTGTTACGGTGCAGTGTTCTATATTATATCTTTCTCAAGAATTTAAAAAAAATGATAGTAAAAGCATATAATAGAATGGGCTGGAGCATGCTCTGTATTTTCTGGCTTAGAATCTATGGTAAAATCTTAGAGTAGCTTCCTTTCATTCCAGAAAGGAGAAGACCTTCTTTGGCCAGGCAGGGGAAAATAAAGGTGGTTAAGTGGAGAATCTTAATATATAAAAAAGTCAAAGGAATAGTAGGAATAATAGTTGTTTGTGTATTGTGTGTAGGTTATGGGAGTGTGTGTGTGTCAGTGAGATTTATTGAGTATGTGCATGAGAAAGTGACATAGCAAATGGAAAGAAAACTGAGAAAGGGAAATGGAGGGAGAAGAGAACCACTGCCCATTTGGACCTGCCCCACACTGCCTCTGGATTCATGTGATTCCACTGAAATAAAAGAGATCTATAAGTAAGTAGACGAATTTAATATTTAAATATGGAGATGTTTTGGAAATATAATGTGCTGGATGTCTATTCCAAATGAGTTCACAAATTGTGACAACCTGCCCTGTGAAAAAGCCATGTAGTTTTGCTTATTGATGAAACAACCCATGTTGTGTCCTCCATTCTTTCCTTCTTGGTCTGCCAGGTATCCTTGTATGCAGCCATAGAAGGACACAACTGCCTTGTCTCCTCTCTCTGGTCTGCTCAAGATCACGTTTTGGTCACTAGTGCAGCTTTTTCATCATTTTTGTGACATCTGCCATTGTCATCCACTGACAGCCCCTCCAAAGTGCCCATGCAGTACATTGTATCAGCCATCACTGGTTTAACACCTTTTTAAAAAATGGCACCAGAATGTGCACTATAGCTATCTATGCCAGCTTTCTTCTGGCATAGAAACAGGGGAAACAGGAAAAAATGAAGTTCACATATAGATTTGGTTAAAACTAGTATTGAATTGTGCTGCTTCCAAGGAACGTGTTAGGTCTGCTAGACAAAGTGGAATTCATTCTGAAACAACCAGATTTAAATCTGGACCTTCCTAAACCTATGGGAGGATTCAGTGAAAATGGCACATAGATCAGTCTTTTCTGACCCAGTGCCATGCAGAACTTTTTAGAGTTCAGTTCTCATATCTAGTAATCAAGAATGCTGGGAGTTATAGGAGTTATAGTCCAAAATATGTGGCAACCAATTATTTGGCAAAATTGCACCTGTGTTATTAGAGGGATTTTAAAAGTGTTGGGAAATCTCACTTGCAAGCAATTGTTATATTGTTTCTTTCCCTCCTTTTTCCTATTTACAGGTTGTATTTATATTCTATCTTAATTTTACTATGTTTTATACTTACTTGTTATGGGTTATACAGTGCATGTTCTTTAGTGAACGTTTAGCGTGGCCTCTGGCCTTCAGTGTTCATCATATGTAGATTTAAGTTAGTTATAACTAATTTGAGTTCCATTCACTTTACTGGCTCTGAAATATGTCTGACATTGGATACTGCTCATAGGTTTGGCTTTATTTTGAACCACATTCTTTGTTCTCAAAAACAGAAAAAGACACCACAGTCACATTGTTGTGACTTTATGTGCATACATGCATTCTTTATAATAAAATATATAACACATTTGTAATTCTGATAGCAGTTTGTAGGCTTGGTGTTTAAGGCAGAGGTAGAAGCAGAGATACTGTTAGCACAACCCTTGCTGAACTGACTCTCCCTCTCTTGCCACCCCCCTGCCCCCATGCACACTTAATTGTCCAGTGTCTGTAAGCAAGAACAGTTTGTAATAGACACAGAAGCTTCATTCCAACTCTGCAGCTGAAGCTTGTGTGAGTAAACTGACTCCCAGTGCAAGGAAGTCTTTTTTTGGAGAGAAGGCACCAGCACTGAACTGTTTGTGGCAGCTTCAGTAGAAAGAAAATCAGGAACTCATTGCTAAACACTAGCATCCCCAAGGAGCTCCATTACAATATATGAAAGGACTATTTTTTGCAATAGTACCTAGAAGAGACAGCACTCCTGTGGTGAGTGCTGGGGGTACTGTGCTGTGTTTCTTCCAGACTTACTCCTGTGGATGCACAGAATTTAGGCAGTGATTCTGGGTTTCTATACAGGAGAGGTTGCTGGTCTGCTTTCAGGTGTCAAGATTCTGAATCACAGGAAAGAGCTAAGCTGTTGTTGTTAACTGTTTTCAAACTTTATTATCTTCCTCCCACAACGCCTGCAGACTTTTTGTGCACAGAATCAGGATAGCTATCCCTCAAGACAAGAATATTAGACTGTGCTCAATTGTGGTACCTTAAAATGAATTGCTCTTCTCCCTAACGAACATTTTCCAGCTTTGTGCCTTTTGGAAATGAATGAAAATCATACCTGGAAGTCATGGCTTCATAATTTGGCATGTAGCTATTATATTTCT